TCCTGCTCTGATACCATGTGAAATTAGGTGTTAGGCCTAACTCACACCCTAAAAGCTAGCTCAAAGGGAGGAGGATTGCCCAAGCCTTATAAGGAGTCCACCCATCTCATTAATCATCGATGTGAGACTTTTGTCATTCTTTAACGGAGATAGTAATAAATATAATGTCTTGAAAAATGTAAAAATGATTTATAATTAATAATAAAATAAATTAGGAATTAAGTGAAATTATCTACTGGTTTCATAAAGTGAACAAATGTTGTTGGACACCCAAAAATAGTGTTGGATAGAGGGAGTACGTGTTTCCTATCTATTTTAATTTTGATGGACAATTGATATTATTGTTTATGAAAAATGACAAGTATCCTATAAGATTAATCGAATCGAAACCATAGTAATTTGGTCAATTTACTCAGATCCATATTTTGACATTGTTTGATAGATATGGATCTATAGTTTCACTGTACCATGAAGTTTCAAAAAATTATTTTTGATCCTATTATTTTTCAAAAAAATTATAAAATTAGTATAAACATATTTTACAGTAACGTTTTAAGGTATATTTTATTTTTTAAATACTAACAGTGTTAGATTGATATACGTTACTGTGAGTAACGTTTTACTCCTAAAACCTTTTTTTGAGTAACGTTTTAATCCTAAAACGTTACTGTGAGTAACATTTAGGAGTAAAACGTTACTATGAGTAACGTATATCAATTTAACGTTGTCAGCTTTTAAAAAATAAAATATACTCTAAAATGTTACTGTGAAATACATTTATACTAATTTTGTAAAATTTTAAAAAAAATATTATTTTTGTGAATTGCTTTATATAATGACTTGGTTTGTTCAATACTTCTTCATAATAAAGTTACTTTATTAAATTTCAGGGCAATCAAAATTGAAGTGGGTAAGGTTGGGGTGGGTACTCACGGTTTGTTATCTATCAAAATCGAAGTGGGATAGCGATTGAGGGTTAGTTATCTATCAAAATCGAAGTGGGGTGGCGATTGGGGGTCTTTATGAAAATTATAAAATGTATCTTATAATACTAAAGAGCACGTTTAATTGATTTTAAAAAGTAGCTTTTAAATAAAAATAATAGGTCAAATTGCAACATATAACACCTTAAATTCTTGGAAAAAATCTACAAGATTTACTATAGTTCCATTACAAATTGCAACTTAATTATAATCGTTCGATCTAAATTATTAAATTTTTGAAGGTGTACTTTCGCCTTCTAAATTAATTACTTCCTCCATTTCAAAAAGAATGATCATATATCCTTTTAGTCTGTTTCAGAAAGAATGACCCCTTTCTTTTTTTGGCAACACTTAAACTTTAACTTTCCACATGACATGTTTAAGACCACAAGATTAAAGGATATTTTGGTATATTTGACATAACTTTAAATTAGAACTACAAGATTAAAAAGTCTTTTTTTTTCTTAAATTTCGTTTCAAGTCAAACTAAGTTAATTTTTTTAAAACGGAAGAAGTACAATTATTGTGATACCACATAAGTCTTACAATTATTGTGATACCACATAAGTCTTAGCTTATTGTGATACCACATAAGTCTTAGATTTTTTATCAACCACAAATTGTTACTTAAATTGAACAAACACATGAAAGGTCAGACTCAAAACATAACACGTAAATTAAATTTAAACGTCACTTGAAAAATAATTTGTCAAAGATATTTAAAATTAATGGTCAAATGCTAGCTTACATAAAAGTGATATATATATATATAAAAAAAAATTAAATCTTAAATATGTATAGCTAATTAGTATAATCGCCAATGCTTAACATGTTTATTACCTATGTATATGCTTGAATTTAGGAAAATAAACGAGTTATTGATAGTACAAAAATTGAAATATGTTGAGCAAATTATAATT